ACGACGACTACTGCTACTGCTCCTGCTGCTGCTTCTCCTTCTAATTCTATTTCTACGTCTTCCTTGAGACTATCACGACCACGACGACGACCACTACCACCACTGCCACTGCCACTGCTACTCCTGCTCCTGCTCCTGCCCCTGCCCATGCCCTTGCGCTTGCGTCTTGCGTCTGCTCCCGCTCTGGCTACTGCCGCTGCTACTGCTACAGCTACGGCTGCTTCTACTACCAACCAATACTACTACCACTCACCACCACTACCACCGGACGACTACCAGTAGTACTGCTGCTGCTGCTCTTGCTGCTACCACTGCTACTGCCGCTGACACTGCCCTTGCCACTGCTCCTACTGCCACTGCCACAGCCACAGCTGCTCCTGCTCCTGCTCCTGCTCCTACCCAGGCCCAAGACGACTGCGATCGTACATGTTGCTTCTACCACTTATCGGTATAACCGGCATCACTGGTACATATTACTGCTTCTTCCACTCTTACAAACACTTCTCTTTGTGGCCTTGCTGAAATGTTTGACTGTGCACGTTTTTGACTTTTAATTGCGGCTGTCAATGAACTGTCAAGGGCATTTGACTTGCAAACGACTCAGGACCACCGCATAGAAAGCGGCAACTCTGATGCTAAGCACCCATAGCACACACCGAGGCTCCAACGAACTTCGCCTGGGTTGGAAAGTTTCTGGAATTATACTTGCATCTCCAGGCTTGGACAGGGCAATCTTCTGATAGCAGGCATACCCGAAAGCCGCGCACAGCGCAGAGAGAGAGAGAGGGGAGCCGCAGTGGCAAGGCATGTGGCCGTGTAGCCGTGCCGCATCTGAAAGCTGTTCGGGCTGTTCGTGGTGTGACGCGAGATGAGCCACAGACCTCCGTCCAACCTGGCAGTCCTTCAGCGCTGCACGGCTCGCAAACTGGACAAAAACAAGCGTTCACAAGACATGTTGATGGTTTGCCGTTCACGAGGACTGGTCTACCCTTCAGCTGACGAGAAGTTCAAGACATGCAGAAGCTTTCATGCTTTTCCCCATGCTTTGTATGCTGCGCCACACTGTGGAAACCATTGGCTGTCATCCCCGAAGTCTCAGCGGTTTAACGATAGGTTTGCGAGCGAGCTCTTTAAAGGTGTTTCACAGCGTAGATACTCATGTCTCGTCAAGGCCAGTTTCTGCCGCACGAACTGGACACAATGGTGACCGCCATTGACGAAGTTGGCTCAGTTTGGATGACGCTACAGAGGAGCAAGACTCCCCCGGTCGCAGGGTCTGAGCTGCCCTTGTGGTCTCGAAGGCAGCTGCTCTGCTCAAAAGCTTCGCGCGCTCTTTCAACTACAGGCCGTGGCAAGCCCGGCAGACAATCAGAACGCCGTAGAATTACATGTCGAGAGCTTCTGTACCAGGTTGCTTGATTTTGCTACAACCACAATCCTCAGAATTACATGCTTGGTACACCAACTCGACATTCCGAAAACGAAGTGCCTTCACGAAGGACATCTCAAAGAAATACAACTTGTGCTGCTGTCCAACAGCGACTGCCTAAACTATTTACTGCTGCTGCTGCAGCACCACAACAGGCGAAGACTCGCAAGCACGAGATGCGTCCTTGTGACCGAGTGCGGATTTTATCCTGACAGGATGGAAACGCATTTGATCAAAAGTCCTGTGCTGCGCAAGGCTTCTCAAAGCGGAACACACACTGCGAGGCAGGATGCCTCATTGGCACTGTTTGCCCGTTTCCGCCGGCGATGTTCGGTCCTGAGGGTTCGCAGAAGGGCCGAGGTCCTCATTGGTGGCAAACGGCTTTCTCGGGCTATTGCGTTCCCGTCGGAGGTGGCATGGCCTTGTCAAACCATGGCTGTTTGCACATCCATCGAACAGGCATAGTTGAATATACTCTCGTAACATGCCACAAGCTGAGCCAAGCGTCAACCTCAAGAACACCGCTTGGCTACGGGAAAAAACCCGAGGTGATGTCAGCTAAAGCAAACGAACCGACTGGCATGGCTGTGGCCCTCTGGGGCACCAGAGTCTTCCCTGCTGAAAGCCACATGCGTTTGACCACATTGGGTCGAAAGGTCCTCTCAACACGCAGCATAACTGGCAGCCTCTGCTGTGAGATCAAATTGTCCGGGTTGGCATTGCCCTGTTGCAGAAATGTGAAGGGAAGTTGGGGAGCATGATGCAGTACCAATGCAGTACCATTGCGCCGGCCCGGCTGTGGCGTGGCCCCGAAGTTCGCCCGCAATGAAAACATGCCTAGCGGCCTAGCGGCCCAGCCACTGCTGGAACAGTCTTTGTCCAGCATCAGCTTTATTGAAAAGCTTGAAAACAAATACATCCAGCTCTGGCCTTTTGCTTGGCCTATAGACTCCTAGCAGGTTTCTCTGAAGTGCCGATAACTCCGGCACATCGATGCTTCACATTCCCTGCGCAAGGCCAGGCTTCTTCGATTGCTCCGGCACGTCTACTGACGTTCAGTTCTGACCACAGGAGGTAGGCGAAAGAGCCAGACTCTGCGCGGTCTCTAGTTTGGCGTAGCACACGGCAGCAGATACCTCACGGCGAAACTTCCAAGCATCTGATGCAGTGTCGGCATGAACACCGTCAGCTACAGCACAGGCGCGCCTTGAAAAGCATTCTCTATCGCAACATCTGCTCCGTAACCTCACTACCTCGGGGAAGACTAACAACGGGAACATCGCTGGCCTTTCTAAGACGCGAGATCAACTTCAAAACTCGCAATAACCTTTCCGCACGTGCTCCGCCGGTTACGTTGTCGCGAACACGGACTGAAGCTGGGGCATATAATCTCACCTAGAAGCGTATCAGCAAGAAACACTGATACGAGTAGTAATACTGAAAAAGATTGCATGGAGCAATCGAGCTCTTTGTGCACCACTGTTACCGCATCTAAGGTTTCCATGTGCAAGACGCAAAGTACAAAAAGTCACATCAGCCGAAACGCTTGGCATCTGCTGGACGCCATCGTGCTTGACCTGTGCAAGCCATTTTATGCCGCAACTTCCTGTTGTTCGATTGGGGGCAAGCCGCAGATTCATGGAGTTGCCGGCGAGAGACCAAGTAAGTGGTGTCCGCGGCTTTGACGCACATCCTAGGAACGTAACCCGCCCAGTGGCTGCATGTAACACTGCTCCGTCGTGCAGAGAAGGGGCATTCGCATGGTCGTAAAGATACATGTTCGTGGTCTCCGACGGTGGAGGGACTCTTCATCAGTCTCCAGGCCTCGGTGACGCCGGGCCCTGGAGCTATCCGGAGCTGAGCAGATGCACTGCCCGGCCGGCCTCGGTGCTTCACGTGCTGGCGGAGAAGCCTCGGTTCGGTTCAGAGACTTTTCCTTCGCACTCTTCCCCGGCACCTTTGACGCCATGTCGGGCCAAAGCGCTTGCAGATCCGCTTCACGTCTTCGTCATGAAACTGGCGTGGCAGTGGCAGGCCAGGCCCTCAACCCTACCGAGTGTTTGCCCGGTGCCGCCTGCTCCGTGGGCCTCTCCAGGCACATCAGCTCCTCGAGGGGAGCTGCTGCTACCAAAAACGCACTAAACTCCAAAAACCCCGCCCTTCGGCCCCTTTTGCTGAGGCCCCTGCTGCATTTGCAATGAACGCCCGGGCCAAGGACAGCGCCTGGCACCTTCAAAGCCAAGGCTACGCTACTCGACGCTACTCGCTAGGCTTCCCAGACCTGGGAGACCTGGGGCCCAGTGCCACCAAGTCACTGCGTAGCGGACAGCCTCTGACCCCAATCACGTTCCTTGATATCTGCCTGCGACTTGATCTCTTCCTTTCGCACGGAGCTGGAGTCAGCTGGATGTGTGTCTGTGTTCTAAAGATCACAATCGCATCCTTGACACTGCAGAACATAGCACAACCTGCCCGGGTGCAGTGGCAGTCCAGAATCTTCGGGCCAAGATGGAGGCTTTCGCAGATGTTCACGACCCGCTGCATGGAAGCGTCTTCCGCATGCCTGCCATTTTGGTGGCCGGCTCTCTAAACCTACTCTGCACTGAAACCTCCTGCCTGGCGCCATACACCAAGTTGGAGTAGAGGCTGCCATGAAAAAACAAGATCATGTGGGGAACATAGAGTACCTTGCTTTCGCCATCAAAGAACCAACCGTGAGTCTGACTTCTCGCATGAAAGCTGGAGCAACTGGAGGTCTTCTGACACGTAGGCTCTGTGTCACCATCCCCCCAGATCTCGCCCAAGCGGCTTGCAGGTGAGCAGGAACGAAGAAGAGGGCTGCAGGATTGTCCAGCCCGGGCAAGTTTCTCCCAGAAAGAATCCTTCAGTTGATGGCGTTTTTTCAGTTCGCAGCATGGGTAATTGGTAAAGCAGAGACCCACAAAGACAGCAACTGAACAGATTGAGAAATGATTGTCAACTGGAGCGGTTGACACCCTATAGTTCTCAAGCTGACCCCGGCCATAACGCATTGGACACAGAAGTGGCTAAAGTCTACGGTTAGCCGCTGCTTGAGTTGCTGTTTTCCAGTTGTTTTCCTCACTGACAGTCTTACATCTACAAGTGCTTGCAGAAGGTGGCCATGGCTGTGTCTTCTTCCTCATGGCTCGATAGACTGTCAGGCTCCTGTCCCCTGCTGATGCCATTATTGCTCCAACTCGTCTTCAACCGCTGTTTCGCTGCCATTGTTGTACCGGTGGCGGTTAGTTACCATTGCTCATGCTGGCGATTTCCTCCTGGGAGTTCAGTCCTCAGCAGCGTCGACTTCCCGGAATGGCGTGCGCCGATAATGGCCAGAAGTTTCCCCTGCGCAAATTCCAACCTCACGCTGCAGTTTCGGGCATAGGGTTTAGGGTTGAGGGTTTAGGGTTTAGGGTTTCGGGCATAGAGCTGTAAGGTTCCACGTTCCACAGACTTGCTCTGGGCGCTTTGGCGCTTTCAGGCTGTGATTGATTGACAGTCCTACTAACGGTTGTCAAACTATGCCGCATGCGGATCAACACACCGTACACGCAAAAGTGCTACGCTACCGCGTTTGGTCGGAGAACTGCTACAGTTATTGCTACAGTAGCTACTAGCTTCAGGTGATATCCGATGATGTCCAATGCCCTGATTCAAGCATTCGCTGTTTCGTGCAGGGAGCTATTCACGACACAAATGCATGTTTCTCGCGCCCTGCGCGGTCGCTTGTGCAGCGGGGGTTCTAGTGAGATCTAGTGAGGCATGGTTTTGAACTTCCAAGGGCGTGGAAGACGAAAGCTGCGTGAGGCAACGATGAGCTCCCTGGGAGTGAAAGTAGGCTTGGAACGGGAACCTTCAAAGACCTGTCGATCCAAGCCTGGGGATTCTCGAGCAGGATCTTTCATCCATTCCCTTCTCGTCGTGTCATGTGCAAGCCTCTTAGCAATGAAGAGGAGAAGCCTTCCGTCGAAGGACACCGGCTCATTGCCCGGATACGAAAACTGCAGATTGTGGATGGCCTCGCAAAACGACAGAAGCTGGCCACCACCAACACGCCGGCAGAGGGCTTGCTTGTGCTCTAGTTTAACCAGTGACCGATGAAGCCAGGATTCCAAGTTCAGCCTGTCCACCACAAATCCTTCGCCGCGAAGGGTTGTCTGAGTTTCACGACACTACCTGGAGTCACTACCTTCATGGTTCGTCTATGCCAGAGTGCCCGTGTCCTGGGTCTTCTTCGGTGTCCTCCTCCGTCTTCTCCTTCACGAACTGCGCAGTCGCCAATCGACGGTGGCGCTCCAAATCTCTACCTGCGTGACAAAACCAGACACTGCATGCATCGTTGCCGTGCATCAACCAGGTGCTGCCCACCGAATCCCTGCCAAGCTGCGATGCAGGAGATCTGTCGGTAAATTGAGGAATCTGACCATGCGGTCCTGCACAAACTACCGCTTTGCAGCATCCCGAACCCTTCCATGCACCTAGCCGTGGACCCGCCGAGGATGCGAATGGCAGCTAGCGTGAACTATGACAATTTAGTTCTGTCCAGGGATGGAGCCACCCTCTGCATCGCCAGCAAGACTTGACACAGCTCCTTGCAACGATGACGCTCAAGCTACCGAGCAAGTTTTTCAAACCGCGAACCCGGAGCATGAACCAAAGCCAGATAAGGCTCTGTGCCAGCAGCCCCGGCGGTATTGAAAACCCCGATATTGGTAACCTTAGCTCCCGGCTGTCATGTTGTCTTCGAGTACTTAGCCGTGCTTATACTGCGAAGAGGCAGCGAACATTCCAAACTCCAGCCGGCCGTCCATGACCGAAATGCCACCGAATACAGTGTACACGGCAACTAGGAAGGTGGTCCTTGACAAGGGTTGTGCCATCCGTCTGCGGCGTGCGACTCTTGTCATGCAGCTTCAGACAAATCACATCCATGCAACGAACTGCTGGTTGTTCACCTCCATCTGCGCACACGCCTTGGGGCTTGCAGTTGAACACTGCTGACACTGGCACTGCTGGCCTTTCTTAAAGGAGCGGAAGCCAAAGCCGCACACTGGCCTGTGCCGTCGAGCATCTACCGCTGATCTGTTGTAAGCAACCAGTCGCTCGTGGAATTGATCCTGGCTGTGCCCCGCAAGGAGCTTGTGACTCAGCAGCTGGTACACTGTCTGCACTTGATCGCACGTGACTACGAGTTGCAGAGCAAGCGGCCATCACGGTGGTCGACTGGCCTGACCACCGAAGGAGGGGAACGGGGCTTGCCAAGACTGAATCAACATAGTTCCAGGCTGCGACTGCAAGCCGAAGGCTAGAATTTGCAGCTATGCCGCCAAAGTCTGCGATCAACCGAAATGTCCGCACACTTTCCCTCAGATTGCCAATCACAGCTGAGTTACTGGACTCTTCAATGCTGTGACATCGGGGCACGGTGTTAACTTCCCCAAATCTTCTTTCCAAGCGGAACGGTGCAGGCTGCTAACTTTCATAGGTCAGGGTTTTAAGGAAAAGTTCATTTCGGAAATGGAAGTTAAGGTCTGTCGAACGTCGCATCCGTTACTATCCGCACTGATGATGGCATATGGAGATTCAAACGCAAACAACACAAAGCAAGCGTCGCCGATTTTTGCAGCAGCGGCGGGGGCCTGCGGCCCAATGTGACCCATTAGACATTAGATGCCGCGGGCTATAGATGAAACTTCCCTTCGCCTTTGCAGTAGCTCGGCTTCTAGAGAGAGCACGGCTTAGGGTTTACCAGTCAGTGTTCTGGAAGGTATGGTTTAGGGAGTTTTGGTTTTACCGTTCAGGGGCCTGCGATTAAGGGGTCTAGGAAGGTTTAGGGTTTACAGTCTAGGGTTTAGGATTTACCGGTTAGGGTTCTATTATATGGAGTTTAACGATTCCTAAACCCCGAACCGCCTGAACCCCAAGCCCTAAAACCCCAAAAACCTAAACAATCAGACCGAAGCTTCCAAAAACCCTAAACCCCCAACCTCAAAAACCCACCCTCGTTAAATGACTGGATGGTGTGCAAGCCTGCTTTCCACTGTCCACGACAAGCCTGAAATGTACCCTGCAAGGCAAGGCAGAGGGGAGTTCCAGCATGCTCGGGAATGCCTGAAACGGTTGCACCATGTATGCGTGAAACAGTGACCTCGCAATAATTCCAGCAAACATACTGGTGGGATGTGAGTCGTGAGCCTTCATAGAATGCCCCTTGGAACCGCCGAGCATCTGTGCATGTGAGACAGCTTGAACCCGAGCACGCTCTGGAAGCTCTTCCGTGTCCGAGAAGACTACATTGGGTTAGATAGCCTAGTTCTGGTTTATTTTCCACTGGCTGATGCGATGTCACGTAGCAATCTCGGGCGAATCACGCAGAGGCCAGTAACGATGCCGAACGGCGTGCCGGAGAGACTTTTGAGCTTCAACAGCCTCGCCGGCACGCTGGACAGGAACGACCCTAAAGGCCCTGAACCCTAAACTGTTTAGGGTTTAGGGTTTAGGGTTTGGGCCCTAAACCCTAAACCGTTTTAGGGTTGTAGGTTAGGATTTGTTGTTTTGTTGATGACTAGGATTTGCTGGACTTCCGGTTGCATTCGGACCCTGAACAACAAACTACTAAAACCCTGAACCTCAAGTCTTAAAACCCTAGACCCAGAACCCCCAAACCCCGAACCGCCCTAGACCATAAACTTCCTAAACCCCCCTAACACCCTGAACCCGACATCATCACCCCGACATCTTAAAATTTAAAACCCTAAACCGAAAGCCCCAAACCCAAAGCCTCTAAAACCCTAAACTATGCCGTAACCCTAAACTCCTAAACCGTAGACCCTAAGCTGGCATGGATGAAAAACAAACCTAAACCCTGAACTCTGAACATTGGAATGTCTTAAATCCAAACTTTCCAAACCCTAAACCAGCAGCCAGCGGATCACACGTTGATCATCCATAGCCGCCTGGCAAGCGGAATTGCGAGCTGTGCCGGTGAGGGTTTAGGGGGGTTTAGGGTTTAGGGTTTAGGCTGAACATGCTGCGGTGCGGCATGTGCGCTTGTTTTCTCTGTCTTCCTTCGAAACTCGAAATAACCCGCAATGCTTACATTGTAAGCGGCTCCTCAGAGCGATTAAATGCAGGAACGCCGCCAACGTCGCCATCGTCTTAGAGTTGGGTTTTAGGGGTGCCAAGTGCCAAGTAGCATGAAACAAAAGGTACACTAAACACTAAACACCCGTCAGTCCTCTCGGTCTTCAATACTTCATTCAGTACACGGGCGGTTCCTGACGCTATAAATGCACAAAGGTTCGCGTGGCTCGCCTGAAGAGCAGCAGCAGATTGCCCAGGATAAGATAGTTCTATGGCCGGCGGCCTATGAGGCCTATGGCACCGACCGAACTGCATTATCGGACGATGCTCGGTGTCGCGGTGTCGCGTCTACTCTTGAGGCAGAGAGCATATGGAGCGTACCGTCTAATTAACTGAAAATGGCAGTCCTTTTTCAGCTTTGCTGAAAGGACTTTGCAAGTGGCCCAGTCTTACTGATAGTGTTTGTCCACTGTACCTCGGATACAGCTCAGCATCGACAGCATCAACGAATCTGCATGATCACACATGACATCACACCTATGCGATAGCCAAGGGGCCTCGGCGACATTGGTCTTGCCCTTGCGCTTGGGTTCACCTTTGGCATTCCTTTTTGCAGCAGCTTTGACCTTGGCTGTAGCCGCTTTAGCCTTGGGTTCCTTGGTCTTGGCCTTGGCTTTCGCCTTGACGGCAGCGGCTTTGTCCTTGGATGATTTACCACCGCCACGGCCCCTGCCTCCGGATGGATTCGACGTCTGCAAACTCTTCACCGCCGCCTCAGCGGCGGTTCTAGCATCCGCTTTCTCTCTCATCTGAACGGCCCAGTCTATCAACGACGTGTCGTCACCGGGAGGCTCATCTGCTTTGCCTTCTGCACAACTCTCGGCCGCATCTTCATTGGAGTCGGAACTGTCACCCTCGTTCTCCACTTCATCCAATGCGTCACCTGAAGCTTCTAGCGGGACAGTTGCCGGGATAGTATCCTCATGAGCCTGAGGGTCTGCCGGAAGACTCACCGCCGTCGCCGGTGCCTCCTCACGAACATGTTCAGTCTCCGGCGCACGAGCCTCATCCGCATCCCGAACATCTGCCTGCTCACATGGTGCTGGTGCTCCATCCATCAGATCCTCCAGACCATCGACGCCGACACCATCATCAGCATCATTGTCCTTAGCTGACTGTGGATTCTGTGGATCTGCATCCTTGCGTTCTCCAGCGGCATCACCGCTATCATCCTTATCGTCTCCATTGGCTCCTGGCGCATCTTCGCCGCCTTTGCCAGCACCAGATGCACCCGCACCCGAACCCGCGGAAAGAATGCCCGAAGTGGCCGAGCGAAGCATCCCCAGCATCAGAGCCATGACGGGATTCCTGGAAACACGCTACAATGACTGGCGACTGGTCACGGAATGCAAGGCAATGCAAAATGCAAGGCACACATGCGACGCTACACTACTGCACTGCACCACACAGTCCATACGAGCCTGAGACCAACACTCACGACTGACTGACAGCTCATAAATGCACACAGGTCACGACAGGCATTGGCTTGCAAAGTAATGCAATGAGTCAGTGCTGTCCACGGACACAACCATGCTGCTCGCCCTCATGGTGATGACGGGTGTGTCACCTAGCACCTTCTCCACCAAAAGGTATCCCGCCGGCACGTAGAGGATATCAAATTGGTTGACGTAGCCAACTGTCAGCCCGGATGCCGCTGAGTTTGGAAACTTCTCGGCAATCTCTGGCGTCATGTTTGACAGGGTTTCGGCGGCCTCCTCCAAACAACGGCCCTACGAGCTGGGTGTCATGAGTCTCATGCATGTAAGCAGCAACGAAAGACACAGCACGCACGCTCAAGTCGACTTACTAAGCATGCGAACCGTCAGTCCTTGATGGTGGCAGGGTTCTTCAAGTCGATGGCCTTGTCCCCACTCTCGAGCGACAATGTCTGGTGAAGGTCTGCAGCTTCCATCGCCGACATCATAGCCATCACCCTGAGGCCATCCATTTGATACACAAACGACCCAAGTCCGTTCGGAAGGTAGCCCTGAAAGATAGAACCTTGTGCGAAGCCAGCCCACGTGATGCCCTGGATGCGAGCCACTTCGCGTTCCTGCACCTTCGAATCGACCGACTCCATGACGGTCGGTAGCCTGCGGCTGTGGTCACGTGGTGCACAGGGCTCATCGACACTAAGCTGGACGACGCAAACCCATGTCGATGTCTCTTATGTTTAAGCATGGTCACTCATGTCATGTGTATACGGTATAGACCGGTATAGACAAAAAACGAATGCCCACGCCCACGCTGCACTTGCTCACGCTGTCGCGCTCTCACAACACTGATGCCGATCTCTCAACGCTGCTCACTGCTCATCCAACACAGTCACAAGTCACAAGCACACATGAAAGAACAGCACACGTACTCCAGAGCTGGACAGATGCATCGCTGTTGGGCTAGGCTCAACCGACATGTGCGCAAGGAGCAAACTGAACAAACGCACACCGCTCCCGGCACAGACTGTCATGTAGTCACGGATTCACTGTATTGGTTGATTTAAGGTGATACTCTGATTCACTGATTCATTCAGTCTGATAACTGGCCTAACTGGCTAGTAATTGCTACTTAGTAACTTAGACAAACGCAAACCTGAGTCGGGTAGAATGTGTGGTTTCCCGGCTGGTGCCTTCGGGCCACCTCATCACGATCGAAAACCATGTGCTGCAGCTTGCCGTCTTCGTCGAGCTGTTGCGATTCATCCATCCGCGTCTGGATCAGCATGTCCATGCCGAACGAGCTGCCCGGGCCAGCCGCCGACAACGACAGACGATCTGGCGCTTGCGGTGCGCTTAGGGCTTCTGGGCTCAGTCGCTCCCGGCATCTTGCAGAGAACTCGGTGTAGTCCTGGTTGATGTTCTTGAGCAGAGTGTTCACTTTCCCGCCACCGCCCGTGACATCATCCACTGCCTCCGAACCCCGAGCAAATAAATGAACCATGGAAATCATGGAAAGGTACACTGAGTACACTGGGTTTCGGGGATGATGTGATGTGACTCATGATTCATGATATAAGCAACCGGCCTGAAGTACTTTCTTCAGCATGCCTCTCTTCAAGCGGCACATGCGTGGCACAAGTGGAGCCGTAGCCACAGCCTTGGCAAACTCGTTCACATCGGTGCACTTGTCGAAGTCATACGTTGCGGCATCAAAGTTGCAGCTTTCACGCAAGATGAGGGGATCAGTTGCCTGCATTTCATCCCCGGTGTGCCGTTTTCGCCGGCG